GTGTGTGTGTGTGTGTGTGTGTGCGTGTGTATGTGTCTGTGTTTGTATGTGTGTGTATGTTTGTGTGTATATGTGCGTATGTGTATGTGCGTGTAGATCAGTTTATATTTTATATGAATCTACGAACTACTCGCGTATCTACGAGCAACTCACGCACTGGATTCCAACCTATCTACAAGCTTGAGACACACCCACACGCATACCTGTATATGCGGATCGGTGGGACCCAGATTCGAGGTTTGAAGACGCTTCTGTCCTCTGATCTGTTAGCACTTCTCAGCGTTAGATGCATACCACTGTTGCCTTCTGAAGGCATGTGTGTGTTGGGTGTGGTATAGGAATTGCTATATGAACCGACATGCACATCCCGATATAGCAGCACACAGCACACTATGGCCAGGGTGCATACGGTCATCTTTTGCCACCATCGCATGCTGCGTAGCTATATTACTCGTCGATATGATGAGTCTGGTGCTTTTTTTCTGGCTTTTCGTCTTCGCACATGTATTTTAGGTGGGACATGAGTTACAGTATCCCTTCGTCAATAGTATTAATTGAAGCATGTATGTGTGTGTATAAGAGGAGCTTTTTTTATCATTGAAGTGAAGCATATATCATATGCACAGATCATCAGCCAGACGAATGGGAAGTATGTATATACTCTGCACATGAAATATGCTCTTATGCTGTAGTTGCAGACTTTCAAGGAAGTATGCATAAACACAATCTAACCTGACCACTTTAGTTACACGTATGAGATATACAATATAATCTCCAAATAGCTTTGGAAATTAAAGCGCGATGCAGGCTTTATCTATGATCATAGAGAGGACTCTAATATGAAGCTGCGTGCATGTGATACATATACAGTATATATACATGTACAATCTAATATGTATGCATTTTTTAACAAAAAATACGTACATGCACAATTGATATAAATAAAAGGAAGCGTCGACGACCCATCAAAAAGGGCAAAAGCAGAGTCTCCCTGACAACTGTGTGTATCCAGAACTCTCTAAATACAAACGAGAGACTCTCCACTACATTCTACATATTTACTCTCTTTATATATTTACTCTCTCTATTTTTAGAGAGTATTCAAAAAAAAAAAAGAGAGTACATACAGTCATACAGTAACATATTTATGTAGAGAAAAGTAGGCTTTTTTCGAAACAATAACAGTTGACACTGACAGATCTGCTCAGTTGACATTTGACATGACAACTATTTCAAAATTAAATATAAATAAAAACCCTTGTTTTCAGGTCTCTTGGAGTCTTGCCCTACATACTTCATATTTGTATTTTTTAGAAAAAGTGTCTATCACAGTCTACGCAAAGACACAGACTTTCACAGTTAGAAATTCCCAGCCACTTGCCAGAGGCTAATCAATACGTTTTTCATTGTATCAAATAAAAATCGTCTTATTTTACGTTTATGTTCTAAATGTTTCCTTTCGATTAGTCTTGAATGTTTGTAATTGTTTGGGTGTGCTTCTTGGGTTCTTAAGTACAATATTTAAGAGCTATTTCCATGGCCCTCTGGATTAGTGTCTCTGCTAAATTTACGATGTCGTCGGAAGAAACCTGATTTCTGCTCGCGACCCTAATCCAGAGGGCCGTGCTATTTCATCATTAATAGTCCTATTGCCATTCATAGTAGGTCACATCCATAAACGTTTACGTTCAACCAATACTCTGAGAAATAACGTGATGAGTATTCTCAAAAAAAAAATCGTCAAAGCACATCGTTATTTACATACTTCCGCCGCCTTTTCTTTATAAATATCGAAACATTCATACACATATATATACGTTCGCCAACGGGACATACACAGGCGCATACTTTTACAGAAGCGTGTTAGAATCTTATACATTAATACACATAATTACATACTTACTTACACGATAAGTTAGCTCCACAGAAGAACAGAAGATTAGTCAACCATGAATGTGCTTACTACACGATTCTGCATGAACAGTATGAGCTTGAGGTCGGTGGCGGTAAAATCTACTACTTTACTTATGAATAGATCTATACAAACATCTGGAATGCCTCCAGACGGTTTGAGAAGACATGAAGGTTTGAATCAATCGGTAAATAGGGATAATACTATTATTTCCCAAGTGTTATTCCATAGTACAAGCACTGAAAAACAGGACAAGGAGGAAAACACCGAGAAGAAAGTGGGGGATGATCTAGATTTGGTATGTGTCTAGTTCTCGAAACGTTCCATCTCTTGATACTATGATCCGTCCAGTATTGATGCCATGAACTATCTCATATCCTAG